TAAACATCTACTTCAATGACTGTTAGAGGCCAGGCTCCTATTCCTCAGCCCAGTGCTCTGTTGAACTCTTGTTCAACAAGCTGTGTCATATACCTAATACTAGGTATTATAAAGGATATCAAAGAAGACAGTAAGATCAACACTGATATTTTCATCACTTCCTGCTCTGCCTGTCGTCACATAGCATGACTAACAGCTGCTCAAGTGTCTGTCTCAGTTTCCAGTGAGATCATAGGTGCCTGTTAAAGAGGATTATTATCTTACACTTTTATAAGGTAACTCACAACACCTGGAACATTGCTGAGTGTAAGCCCAGCTGTTCAATAAGAGAATATCTTTAAAAATTATAATTGAGGCTGGGTGCGGTGGCTCACGCCTGTAATCCCAGCACTTTGGGAGGCCGAGATGGATGGATCACAAGGTCAAGAGATCGAGACCATCCTGGTCAATATGGTGAAACCCCGTCTCTACTAAAAATACAAAAAATTAGCTGGGCATGGTGGCGTGTGCCTGTAATCCCAGCTACTCAGGAGGCTGAGGCAGGAGAATTGCCTGAACCCAGGAGGCGGAGGTTGCAGTGAGCCGAGATCATGCCATTGCACTCCAGCCTGGGTAACAAGAGCGAAACTCTGTCTCAAAAAAAAAAAAAAAAATGAAAAAATTATCATTCAAAGAGAGCATTTTGACAAGAAGAAATGGTTGCACCTGTGTTGGGTGGGAGAGGTAGAATTGGACCAGCTGGTCTCTCACTACCCCTCCCACCCTAGGTTCTGCCACCCTTCAGAAACACATTCAGTGAGGCGGGTAAAAGCTAAAGAAGACACATCAAAACTAACTTACAAAACTGGCTGGTGGAATGGTCATTTTTCAGTACTGTACTTATCTGTCAGGTCATATATTTAATATTTATACTTGAATTTTGTACAGACTCATACAGGCCCAGTCTGTGATTCTTGTGTTTATAATCGAATCTGTAAGAGTAATTGCTTGCCAAAATATTCCTGCTAGCTGCTGCTAATGTTACAACTATTTTTTCTGTGATCTCCTGTAATCTACTTTTGCCATATTATAGCTCAAGGTTAATGCAATACAAACAACATTATTTAGACTGTGTCTTAGGGGCATGAAGCTCTAATTTTGGGTAAGAATGACCAAATATATTGCTTCCTAAGCTTTATTGCTTTTTGCTAGATCTCATTTTTCCCTATCCGAAGTTATCAAACATTCTATAAAACTTAAAACTTTTTGCTTCTATAAATTGGCCCTCGACTCTTTATTGTCTGAAGAAAAAATGGAAAGGAGAGCATTGATAGGTTATAAAAGAGAAAAAAGTGGGCAGACCACTCAGGGTTTCGGGTACAACTATAGCAACACTCAGGCCTTTGGGGTGTTGAGAAGCCAGGGAAATGGAAAAAATAATTTCCATTATCCTCTCATGATGAGAGAGGATGGACTTAGTTTCTTTTTTCTAAGGGGCTTCAGTTCTTGGTCCTTATTTTCTTACCACCAGCATGCATTCACAAAGATGTTGGGAAGGAAGAGGTATCATCTTGATTGCTAAATGGGGAAGTAATAGGACAGCAGTAGATAGGGGCTCTTGGCAGAATGCTATAAATTATTTTTTTCAAAAATGAGTGTGGAGATCACAGCTTTGTTGATATTGTATAGCATGTCATCTAACAATAGTATCAGTCCTTCTACTCCTGGCAGCAGAAACCTTCCTCCAACAAATGGAGCAGAACACTAATTTGGAAAGCAGGAAGAAAGTAAAGCTGCCCTGCTTGCTCAAGGTGCCACTGCAGAGTCCACTTTGCCAGCCAACTTCTCCCTACCCCATGTCACCTGTGTCTGCACTAGACACATTCCCACCTTCAGCATCTTGGAAACCACTAGTCTAATTGCTCTAGTCTCTACCCAATTCACTGTGTTTCACCTGGTTTTGCTTACTGACACCCTTGAAAATCTGGTAAAAGCTTTGGGTCCTATTCCTTTAAAAGAAAAACAAACCATATCTGCTTGAAAGTTTGCTTGCTGTTTCAAAGCATTCATGGACTGTTCCACCATCACCATAGGCACAAAAATTCCTCAGACCTAAGCCCTTTCTAAAAATCAAACTGCATCTTTTCACACTAAACAAAATAACAATAAACAAAAACAAAATATAACTCTAACCACCTAAACACACTATACTTTCATCATTTTAAATTCGTTTTGGATGAAACTGAAAGAAACCTTGGTTCTGGTTTTAGCTCTGCAGCTAGTAGCTAGATTGCCTTCAGCAAGTCATATAAGACATCTTTGGGCCTCAGTGTCTCTATCTGTAAACTCTAGTGTTGTGTATTCAGCTGTAGTCTTCTGTAATTCTGTGAGTCAGAATGAGGTCCCATGAAGCCAGTACTCCTATGACTGAGCATATGCTGTTTGCATCCATTCATTCATTTTTAGCTTATGAGGGAATGGCCTTTCCATTCTCTCAGGCTAGATGTGAATGTTGTAGTTGATCAGCAGGGCAATATTGACATGCTTATATGTAAAAAGACACTTTCTGCCCTTCAGTTTGAATCATTAAGTTCTGGGTTCATTTTGTTTTGATCCAGCTATCCAGTCCTCTTCCTTATATTTCTATCACCTCCATCCCCAAGCAAAAAGTAAACTGAGTTATCACTTTCCCTTCCCTTGACCCATTTAAAGTAATTCACTAACCCTGAGTTGAGCTAAATAAAGTATCTAAATAAGTTTTGATGATAGAGGAAAAGATAATGGTGACAGGTAAGGCCCAGTGAATGGGGTGCTAATGTAAAGGGGCATCTATGGAGATAATGGGTCCTTAGGTGAATGAATCAGGAGCACAACTCAAGAGAGAAGAGGGGTTGGTTAGGACATGTGATACACTTCTTTTACAACCTAGTTATTTTCAGCCTACTCAAAATTAACCCTGTCATTCTTTTTCTGAGAAAAAAGAATTCCTTGCTTGGGGCAGTCATTTCTCCCAGGCTGTAAAACCCAGCCATGATAATGATGCTGCTAAAATTATAATTTATTGAACATCAACTTTGCAACAGGTACAGTGACAGAAACTTTGTGGATTTTAATTCACTTAATTATTATAACCACCCTTTGGTACTTGTACAACCACTTCTGTTTTTCACGTGAGGAAACTGAGGTTTAGAGAAGCTAAGTCAAAGCCATATAGGTCTCAAACCACAAAGCAAGAATCTAAGCACAGGTTATTTGATTCTAAAGCCTCTTTTTCCCCAATAGACTGCATAGCCCCTGTGCTTTCACTTAATAATTAGTGAAACAGTCCTGTAAAACTGTGTCCAACTTACTGAATCTGCCTGCAGGTAGGGTTATTGTTACTGTGGCTCCTCATCTTTTGCAGGTAAATACAATTTATGAGATAATTTTTGAGGAGTGTGGCATGCCTAGAACACAGAATAACCACTGACAAGATTCTCAGGATTTAAAAAAAAAAAAGGTTGTTTGTTGTTTTATTTTGATTTGCTTTAATTCATCACTCTGCCTGGCACATTGGAGGAACCCAGTGGATGTATGGGTGAATGAAAGGCAGTTCATTCTACAATGTTTAAATGAACTGATTTGCAATAGCAAATACAGAAAGCAAAATGTTAACATTATACACTGGTATGGCTATTTCTACATGTCAGGAACAAAATATCATAACTTTACACATAACTCTTTGAAGCTCTTGATAGGTTTTTTTATACGCTGCTTCCCAAATCCTTTTGTGCAGTTATAAGTAGAGTATTACACCACTTTCATTGGAAAAAAGACTAATTTTACATTGTAATAATTGTACCTATTCTGTGACAAAGCCTTGATTTTAAAAAAAAAAGTTCCAATTTAATAGCTCAAAGAAAGAAGAATGTCTCTAGGAGAACTTGGACCCAATTTTGCAGTTTACTCATTGTAAAATTGTCCTTCAGTGCTAAAATGGAAAAAAAAAGGATGAATGTGGAAGAAAAAAAGCATAGAATAACTGACTAAGCTCGAAGGTCGTTAATGACACTAAGAGGAGTAAAAATGATAAAGTGAACATAGAAAATCATATTCTGTGAAAAATGAAATAGAATTGCTCTTAGCGAGATAAAAAGTGGGGAAAGCATGGAAGAAATCTTTTTAGTACATTTGACAGAAGGGAGGAAGGACTGTGTACCCAAATAAGTAGCTGTGTTGGAGCCAAAGAGTGGGTTCTAACCCTTACCAGAACTTCAGAGCAAATTTCTTAAAAATATAGGTTCATAGGAGCTTATAGTTAGGAGAAAAGCCTGGTTTCCTGGAGACATGTGGTTTTTCTGTCGCACAGGAAGAAAGTCCAGTGTCAGTCAGTCTGTGAATCCAAATACCTGATTCTAAGGAGGTGCAGCATTAATTGGAGCAGCTCCTTAGAATCAGGTATTTGGAAGAGTTCGAGCATTTCTGACTGACGACAAGATAAAGTTTTAAGCTGGGTAGATATCAACTCCTACCGTGACTTTTCCTGAGATTATAAAATTACCAGTGTAAATGTCGTGGTCCCCATTCCTGATCCTATACATCACCTTTTTTCTACCCCCTCATCTTCACTGGGGAAAGCTATTCATTATTTAGAAGGCAGCAGCACTAGTGAATGCACAAAACTCAGATTGTTTTTGCAAGAGTCGACCATTGTGTTTAAATGAAAGTCTCAAAAGAAATAAAATCTGTCTCATTTGTGGCCCATGTGCTAAGTTTAAAAGGTTGCTATGGGAAACTCAGCTAACCTTTAGCCTTTGTGACTATATATTGCCTAGCTCAGACTTGTGAGAAGTGTTCTAAGTTATGATAAATTCTATTTTCATGTAATTAGGAAAACAAAAACCAGTTATTGTCTCAAATGTTTGAGTCCTTGTTATTCCATTTAGAAGCAGTATATTGGTAATGGAGCTTTTTGCAAAGGATTTGGGAATTCTTCAGCAAAAAGAATTTCAAAGCCTCAATTCTGGTTCTTTACCATGTAGGAAGACGACTGGAGAGTACAGAATGAACTGATGATCAAGTCTTATATTAAGGTAATAAATGAAAAGGCTGTGTCACAAAATCTATTCATGTCCACCCTAGTATTTTTGCCAAAATGTTCTTGCTGTGACCTACTTCTGCAGATAAGAAAAATGACTTTGCCATCCTTCTATGACATTATAGCTATAGTGAACTGTTCCCAAGTGTCTTGGTGTAGGTGGCCTTGTGAGAATAAGCATTAATTATTTTCAGACTGCTGATGCATCACCTCTGGGGTGTCTATATTTGTCTTCTAAGAATGCATCATCACTCTCTAATTATAGGTGATCTGGTGGGATTAGATCTTTTGAGTTAAACAGACGAGGATGACACAAAATATGCATGGCAAGTAAACATTTGAAAAACTGGCGAGCTGCAGTGATTGTTAGGATCCAAACTATACTGCAGTGTTCAGAATAACACTCAGAATAGTCTTCACATTGTCAGAGTCACCACCTGCCTAATGCCTACATTTTAAATCACTCGCCAATTGAGTTTATTTTTATGTTTCAGCTTGAAAATTTATCACCTAATTCTAATTCTTGAAATCTTGCAATGTTATCCCAATGGATTTTGTGAAAAATCAGGAAATCACCATGGAATCTCCTGGACACTGCTCTTTGATAGCCATCTCTGCAGAACCAGGAAGAGCAGTGAGGGCTGTGGCACCTTGGTCTTAACTTTGAGGCTTCTGAGGCAGTACAGAGCAGAACTCTGAGCAAAGTTTTAAAGAGGAGATCATTTTCTGGCCAGGATGCTTTGCCAAGTAACGTGGAAGTAATAGAGTCTGGGTTGAAAATAACAAAGCTTCCAGTCTCTTTTCAGCTCCATCCTATAAAAGGTTATTTTCTCTGATGTTGATGCAGAAAAGTAATAAACCTAGATTCTAGTTATATAATTAATTTAGCCAATCATTCATTCAGGCAACAAATATTTACTAAAAACCTGTGTGCAAGACCTCATAGAGGGATATACAGAGATTTAGATAAGACATTGCCCTTCCACATGAATGGTCCTTTTGTGGACAGGAGTGGATAAGCAAGGGTATTACTGGGAAATCTAAAACACATAGTGTAGCCAAGAAGAGGCATTTGGGTCCCCTTTTCAGTGTCTGTGTGTGTGGACTGTGTCACATGCAGGGTTTGGGAATTTAAAATCACCAGTGCTTTTCCTCTTTTCTTGAATGCCAGTCTAAGAAGTAGCTTTCAGGAATCAGAAATTAAAGTTTTTAATCAATGACGAACATAAAGCTGGAGGATTTGAACATGTTGAAGGTGGTGACCAAAGTACAGAGGTGCCTTTCTTGTCCCCCACAATCACTTCTGAAACTCCATGCCATTTTAAACAGTGAAGTTGAGAGGTAGGGGAAGGATAGCATCCAATTTCATTCCCCTACTGAGCAGCAGATGTGCCCACAGGAACAACTGCACAGTGTGAGGTTGTCAGGTTTCCAAAAGAATTTAGCTAATGGGCTTCATTGCTCATAGACTTCGAATCCCAGAGAATCAACATGAAGGTGAGAGACAAGTACAAAACTTGAAGCTTCTAAGAGTGAGTAAGTGAGGAAGTTTTTGTGAGCAGTTTTTCTAACCCAGGTGTTCTAATTTGCCACACCCAAAATCTGAAGCAGCTACCCCTGCATAAAGGGAAAGAAAGCAGATGTGAATGCTTATGTTAAAAGTCAGCTAAAGTTCTTAGCTGCAGCAAAGGCCAGAAAATTGAAGGAGCTCTGCAGCATCTTCTCTGGAGGCATTTCTGAATAATATCTCTGTTGAATGGCTTAGCTGTACAGGTAATGGGAAAAGCTGACTCAGAGCTGCCTCCAGGCTTAACAGAGAATATATTCTGGGTACCATTGTAAGTATTAGGGAAGGCCTGAAAATCACTGGCAGAAAGGCTAATGTTATACAGTTCAGATTCCCTCAAGGAAGAAAATGTTTATGCAATTCAACGTTAGTAACCTGAATCATAAGCTGCTTGTTTTCTGCAAACATCAGAGTTAATAGTACCTGTACCCTAAACTAGTTCATGGCATTGCATTTTCAGATTCATTTTTCTTTCCACATAAGAACAACTTTTAACTTTGTACCAGGAGTGTTCTCTTAGATTCAGAGAGAACCACAGAAGTAAGTTGCCAACTTGTTACTGTGACCTGTGGGACAGTCCTCACCCAGTTTCATACTTGTCACACTCCGTGACTACTTCAAACTGCATGAATTGAGCACAGAGCCATGGGCCCAGGAAGAGTGTGGTACTCCAGAGTGGAGCGAGTGAAATGCTGAGGCTTACTGGGAAACCTGGGCTGACTCACCTGAAGCCTGAGCCAGGCCCTGTTCCACTCCCACACTGCTTTATGACTCCAAGGCTGTCTTTGTGCACTGACTGTGTAAACATCTCCCTGAGGCCTTCAGGACGTTTGGAGTGGCACAGAACATGAGTAAGTTATACAAGTGGAAAAAGGGAAGAAAGAAAGAGTGTATTTGAAAGGAGAGTTGTTGAGATGAAGTCCTATACCCCATCCTTCTCCTAATATTTTTTATTTTAATAAAGATATATTAAGCATAGTGAAACTCATAGGATTGAAATATGAAATTCCCCCACGCCCCCTCAATCTTCAGGAGTTAGAAAAGGTGTTACTGAGTTTCTTTTTGTACAAGTGATTTTTGGTTACAAAGATGAATTGTGTAGCCGTGAAGTCCATGCACTAGTGTCACCCATATAGTGTACATTGTACCCAACTATTGACATTTTAAGATGTATTTTTTTTTTTTTTTTTTTTTTTTTGGTAGAGAGCTGTCCTGTTCATCTCAGGCCTCTACCTATAGAAGCCGGTAGCATTCCCCTAGTTATGACAATATGACAATCAAAAATATCTCCAGACATTGCCAAATGTTCCCTGGTTGAGAACCACTGATACACACCCATGTAACCATTATCCAAAAAGAAGATTTAGATTATATCCATTTCACATAAAGTTCCCTTCAGGTCTTTTACAGTCAATCTTCCCTCTTTGAAAACCACTCTTTCTATTTTCTATCTTCTTAGATTCATTTTGCCTGTATTTGGACTTTGTATAAATTGAATCATACAGTATGTACTCCTTGTTGTCTGGACCTGCCACTTAACATAGTGTTTTTGCAATTTATCCATATTATTGCATTTATTAGTATTTCATTCCTTTTTGTTGCAGAATAGTAGTTCACTGAATAAATATGCCACGATTTGTTAATCAGTTCTCTTGTTAGTGGGCACATACATTGTTTCCTGTTGGGGGCTATTTTGAATAAGGCTGCTGTAAATATTCTGGTAAAATCTTTTTGTGGACTTGTTTTCAGCTCAGGTACATATCTAGGAATGGAATTACTGGGTTGTAGGGTAGACGGATATTTAACTTTTAATAAATTGCTAAACACTTTTGCAAAGTGCATGTGCCATTTTACACTCCCAGCATCCATGTCTGAGAGCTCCAGCTGTTCCCTGCTTCATCAATGACATCATTTTGTGATGCCAACCTTTTATTTAGCTATTCCAGATATCTAATTATGATTCTCACTTGCATTTCCCTAAGGATCAATGATATGAGCACCTTTTCAGGTGGTTTATCTTCTCTTGTGAAAGATCTGTTTAAGGCTTTTTATCATTGATTGTAGGAGTCCTTTTCCCTTCCTACATCCCCCACCAGTACTCATAATTGTTTTGAGTTTTTACAGGAAACTCAGGGACTGAGAAACCTTTGGGCATCTGAATAAATTTGATCTAAATTATAAAAACCACTATGAAACATGCCTTCTGGATTTTGTTTGTTTGTTTCCACTTCCAAACATCCTGTGAGTTTAGAGAGTATTTTCCTTAGAGGTTAGAAATACTCCTCCTAATTAGCCAGACAGGTATACAGAACTACTTTAATTTTCTATGGCATAGCCTTCCAGTGCGCACAGCCCCTACACAGCAACAGCCTGACCTCATCCTTCCACAGCTTTGACAAGCAAATTAACAGCAGGAACCTGTCCCCACATAAAGCAGTGAGTCACTTTTATAATTCCATGCCCAAGGGAGTTTTGTGGTGAGCCTTTTTCTGGAAGCAGTTATTTCTCCCTTCTCCCTCCATTTTTCTTTTACTCATACAGGAATGTCTTTACCTAGTTAAAAAAAAAAATTAATTCCTCTATCTAGAAAAATTCTTTTTTCCATTCCTATTTTCTGATAACAGAGCTTAGCTGTTTCCTTTTAATTACAGTGGAAAAGGGAGGAACTCATGAACTTTTTACTAGTTAAGACGGTTTTAAGGTAGTATTTTCTACAGAAAGATTCATCTCTGAGTAGTTTAGGACCTTGTTTCTAAACAGGATACAAGGACACTTGAAGCAGGGTGTTTTCTCACTGCACTTTGAAAAGGGAATGCAGTGGCCTGCAGAAGGGGAGTGGCGTGTATTAGGTGTATACATGTGTTTAAGTGTTCAAAGTGCTTTGTAAGCAATAAAGCAATCTCCAGATGTGATGGCTAAATACCATTCTCCACTAAAAGGAAACAGGCTTCTTGGGAAAATGGCTGATTCTATGTCTGAGATAAAAATGTGCAAGACAAGACTGAGTTCTGTCTTACCGTAAAGTGAGGAGAAAAGTAATCGAATTATTATAAACTACTGGGATCATGTCAAAAGGACTCAGGCTTTAAGTTGAAGAGTTTCCTACTGATAACGATGGGCAGGTTTGAGTATCCGTGAGAAAGACTGCAGTGGATTAAAGCATATCAAATATATTTCAAATCCATGAATTCACAAGGACACTAAAAGCATAAAAGTAGTCACATTTTAGTCTTTGGAAAACTCTGCAGAACAAAAGGCCTAATTTCTTTGAAACACAAATTGCAAATGGAGAAAAGAGGAAAGAAGAAGAATCTATTATTTAAGAGCCAAGACTTATTAGTTGTAATACTTATACAACATGGATTCTGACTTAAACTAACATCAACTGTTAAAAAAATGTATGAGCTAGTTGGGGAAATGTGGTCACTGACAGGATATTTGGTTATATTAAGGAATTGTTGATATTTTAAATGTGATCATGGCATTGTGGTTTTATTTTTATAGTAGCCTTTCTCTTTTAAACATACATACTGAATCATATGTGATTTGCTTCAGAAGAGGTCTGTGGCAGGGATTTGGATGAAACAAATGGTCGTGAGCTTGTAATCGTTGTTTCTGGTTAATAAATACTTGTAGATTAATTATATCTTCACTAGAGAATATATTAGTATTTGAAATTTTTCCGTAAGTTAAAAACAAAACCAGTTTAGTACACTACAGACTATTAGTGTTAAGGGTTTATTGGAGAGTGAAAGCAGATGTTTGAACAGGGAGAGAGGATTGCTGGGATGACTAGATGTAAGTAAGAAACTGTGTCTTGCTGGCCTTGTTTGTTGGTATGTTGCTGTGAAAAGATTAATATCCAGTGATTTAACCTGCCCCCAACATTTTCCTCTCTGCATTTGTTTATTAGCATCATACTAGTGTTATAAACCCGGGGTTCTTGAGAAAAGAAATGAGAGCATGCACGCTTACTTCATGCTGGTTGGTTGTCCAAAGATCCCTACTGAGGGACCCATCTGGATCCACTGTTTTTCCATTGATCTTTAATGCCTTAGAAAGATGAAGACTCAAAGAAAACTAGCGGAAAACTTATAAAAGTATGTTTTCAAAGGAATGTTTTACCCCTAAATTGAAAGAAAATAGAGGAGAACATTTTGCAAAGGAGTGTATAAGGCCTTATCTTTAAATATACCAAATGGAATACTTCTGAGAGAACACTAGGCTCAATGACATAATTGTTAATGTTCATAATCTTTTAGCAATTTAGGTGTGTTAAAGACATATAAAATAATATATGAGTTTCAAATTTTTCTCTACTCCCCATCAAAACAGTATATTTTCTTTCATGGCTTTATACTTTCAACAGGTTATGGTCCTTACTCCCATCACATTAAAATTTATGTTTCTGCGTCTCCTTTCAGGACTTCTTCAATCCTGAAAACTGGGGCCAATAGACTTACTTGATGAGAAATTATTTCTCATTTTGCTGCAGAAGAGCCCCTGAATTTTTAGTGCTACATTTGCAGCTCTTCAATCACGAATTTCAGGTCCCATTGAGGCAGGTGGAGGCCTTTGGTTGTAAGCTTTCCCAGACTTGAGTTTGAGAGAGTGCCTGCAGGGGGCAATCACAGAAATTGCAGTATCTGACTCAATCCTTGACCAACCAGAAGAGGAGGGGAGGCCTGTCTTACAGATGAAGACACCAAAGCCTGAAGACTGGGCAGTCTCACCATGTTGTCTCTGACACACATGTTCCTCCTCCTAAGCCACGCTGCCCCTTTAGCTGTACACTGGGCCAGCTCTGACTTGGATTGAAGTGTGCAAATTAGTGAACTAATGAGGACAAGTCATAGAACTTGCATTTCTATAGAAGGATGGCAAGATGTAGGTCTCATAGTGAACTAGAAGCCGGCAGTTTGTGATAGCCAATATTAAAGGCTCATGATATTTTCCAATGAAATATGAGTAAGCATTGGTCATTTCCAAGTATTCAGTGTCCCAGTAACCAGAAAAGTCCAGTCCACAATGAAATACACTAATTATTTAGTTATTACAGGTCATATTTAGTCTATCCATTCCCATGATTATTCAGTGTCTGAGTGAATAATCATCCAGACTCTTAAGTTAATCTTATGATTTAAGCTGAATATACAGGGCATACTGCAGGGATTGCGAGTTTGGTTCCAGACCAGCACAATAAAGCGAGTATCTCAGCAAAGGAAGTCACATGAAGTTTTTGGATTCCCAGTTTATATAAAAGGTATGTTTACACTGTACTATAAATGTCTAAAAACACAATGTACATATCTAATTGTAAAATATTTTATTGCTGCTAAAAAAAAGAAAAGAAAAAAGCTAATGATTTCTAAGCCTTCAATGAGTCCTGATCTTTTCACTGGTGGAGAGTCTTGCCTCTGTGTTGATGGCTGTTGACTAAGAGAGTGGTGGCTGAAGGTTGGCGTGCCTGTGACAATTTCTTAAAATAAGGCAGCAGTGAAGTTTGCCACGTCAATTGTCTTGTTTTTCATGAATGATTTCTCTGTAGCATGTGATGCTGTTTGATAGCATTTTACCCACAGTACAACTTCTTCCAAAATTAGATTCAGTCCTCTCAAACCCCACCACTGATTTATCAGCTAAGTTTATGTAATATTCTAAATCCTTTGTTGTCATTTCAACATTGTTCACAGTATCTTCACTATGAGATTTCATCTCAAGAAACCACCTTCTTTGCTCACCCATAAGAAGCAACTCCTCATTCATTCAAGTTTTATCATGAGATTTTGGCAATTCAGTCATATCTTCAGGCTCCACTTCTAGTTCTAATTCTGTTGCTATTTCCACCACATCTGCAGTGACTTCCTCCACTGAAGTCTTAAAGTGTTCACAGTCCATGGTCAGCTCACAGTTAATGTTGATAATTTGACCTCCTTCCATGAATCAGAGACGTTCTTCATAGCATCTAGAATAGTGAATTCTTCCCATCAGGTTTTCAATTTACTTTCCTCGGATCCATCAGAGGAATCACTTTCTATGGCAGCTATAGCCTTACGAAATGTATTTCTTAAATACTAAGACTGGAAATTGAAATTACTTCTTAATCCATACCCTGTAGATTGGATGTTCTGTTAGCAGGTATGAAAATGTTAATCTCCTGTACATCTCCATAAGAGGTCTTGGGTTACCAAGTGCCTTGTCAACGAGCAGTAATATTTCCAAGGTATCTTTTTTCTGAGCAGTAGTTATCATTTTCCCAATGATAAGTGAGAATTGGCTTCAACTTAAAGTCAGCAGGTGCATTAGGCCCTGACAAGAGAGTTAGCCTGTCCTTTGAAGCCTTGAAGCCAGGCACTGACTTCTCTCTGGCTGTGAAGGTCCTAGGTAAGATCTTCTTCCAGTAGAAGGTTGTTTCGTCCATGTTGAAAATCTGTTGCTTAGCATAGTGATCTTCATCAGTGATCTTAATTAGATCGTCTGAGTAATTTACTGCAGCTTCTCCATTAGCACCTGTGCCTTCACCTTTATGTTTTAGAGATGGCTTCTTTCCTTTAACTTCATGAACCAACTTCTGCTGGCTTCAGTCTTGTCTTTTGCAGCATTCTCACCTCTTTCAGTGTTTATAAAATTGAAGAGAGTTAGGGTCCTAATTCTGGATTAGGCTTTGAGTTAAGGGAATGTTGTGATGGTTTCATCTTCTATCTATACTGTCCAAATTTTCTTCATATCAGCTTTAAGACACTTTTGCTTTCTTGTCACTCACTGGAGTGGCACTTTCAGTTCCCTTCAAGAGCTTTTCCTTTTCCTTCACAACTTGGCTGTTTGGTGCAAGAGGCCTAGCTTTTGCTGATTTTGGCTTTTAACATGCCTTCCTCCTTGAGCTTAATAATTTCTAGCTTTTCATTTAAGTGAAATATGTGTGGCTCTTCCTTTCACTTAAACATTTAGAGGCCACTGAAGGGTTATTAATTGGCCTAATTTCAGTATTGTTTTGTGTGAGAGAATAGAGAGGCCCTAGGAGACAGAGAAAGATAGGGGAATGGCTGGTCATTGGTACAGTCGGAACACATGACATGTATTGATTAAGTTTGTGTCACCCCAAAACAATTACAACAGTAACATCAGTGATCGCTGATCACAGATCACCATAAACAAATATAATATTAATGGAAAAGTTTGAAATATTGAGAGAATTAGCAAAATGTGATGCAGAAAATGAAATGAGCACATGTTGCTGGAAAAATGAGGCCAACAGACTTGCTTAATGCAGGGTTACTGCAAACCTTCAGTTTGTAAAAAATGCTATATCTGCAACATACAATAAAGTAAAGGAGAATAAATGAGATGTGCCTGTATTAGTAAAGGCCTATTCGGCCAAATCGTTTCATGTATTAAAGATCCATGGCTTAATCATTAATCCTGGATTCAGAGTTGAATTTCTCAGGAATGGATTATGTCAGCAATCCAGGATGTGCTGTTTTGAATCCCTAGGAGTGCTGCCCATTACACACCACTAGACGCCCCCTACACAGTCCAGTCAGTGGCCTCTGGGCTTCAAGTTATTTTTCAAGTAGTGGGTGATATTTTACACTAAGTCACCTACATTCTTATATTTGAAAATGCTATAGGTTTTGTTTTTTCTTCAGATGCAATATCTGCAATTTCAGTGACTGTCACTGGTAGATGTTTTGTTACTTGGGATAACAGGTGGAAAAAAGCCTTATTTAAGCCTTGGATATTTTATATACACAATTAGCCATTTATGCTTCTCCTTTAAAAATAAACAATTAAACATGAATTTGTTCATTAGAATCAGGTAGAGAAAGAGATACATCTGCAGCAATATTTAAAAGAAACATTAAGGTTTAGTGTAATAATATTAAGCTCTTCCATTTATCGAAGACCTCATCTGTGCCATGGCCTGCCCAGCCATTTATGTCCTTTATTACTAATCCCCACAACCACTGGTGGGCAGAACTGCAGGGAGCTAAGCCTCCAAGAGGTCACTCAGCTAGTAAATGTCAGGGAGGTATTCAATCTCAGCTCTCCCAAGAGCCTATATTTTTCTGCTCTCCCACCATGTCTAGCAGTGTACAAACTGCTGCCTTCTTACACTAATCTGTTTTTACTTCTCTCTGTGTAATGTACAGTAGTCCTAGTTTAACATTATTGATAGGTTCTTGGAAACTGCGACTTAAGTAAAATGACATATGGCAGGTCCTTGAATAATATTGTTTCCTTCAACGTCATTTCATTGTAACATTGATGAAAAAAATTGCTTCATTAATACTTTTTTGGCTTAAAATCAGTTTACAAAAATGTATCAACAACATTAAGTGAGGACTTACTGTACTTTATCTCCAATTCTTCAGTCTTTTCATATCAATTAGAATTCACCTTTCTACACCTTCCTAGTAGCCACCTGAGACTTCCAGCTTCTCATGGAGAATCTACCACTTTGAATGCTGAGAGCTTTTTTCTATTCCTACACCCTACACTGTTCTTGACCTGGAAAAGCTCAGTGGACTGTTCTCATCTATAAAAGAAACCCCTTTGCCTTCTATGTGCATAAAAGTAAAAAAGCCAAGATTTCTGTTAAAACCTCACATAGCATCCTCTTCAGTTTGTTCCCCTCTGTTGATATGACTGTTTGTAAACTCCTCATAAGCCATTATTAACCCCTCCTTTAAAATAAACAGGCTAATTACTGTTTTGTGATCCCTCTTTATTTCCAGCAAGTCCACTTAAGAAACAAATGATATTTATTTTTAAATGGCTATATTAGCATGTTTTTCTTTTTAAAATTTGCATGTCTTAAGTGTATTTTCAAAGGAATGTCTGAGTGGTAAATGGCTAAAGAAATGAGCATCTGGTTACAATTTGATCCCTTTCTTGCCAGTCCTTACCTGTTATTTGATTATTCCAAGTCATAATCACTTTTACTGAACTGATTGAACTATGCTACTATGACGTATCCAGCTTTAAAGTTCCTGCCCAAGATTTCAGGCCAATTTGTCATCTATCCTGTTGACTTTCTTCCGCTGCCAGAAGTTTCCTCCTCTAATCAAAGAATTATTTCCCCCTTATAAGTAGGATTTTACTTTGCCATTCTATCTCTTCTTTCTCCTCCTTACCACTAATCCAAAAGAGGGAATCTACTTTCTTCTCAAAAAAATAGGATGCTGGCTGTACATGGTGACTCACCTGTAATCCCAGCACTTTGAGAGGTCGAGGAGGGAGGATCACTTGAAGCCAGGAGTTTGAGACCAGCCTAGGCTACAAACCGAGACCCCCATCTCTAAAAAGAAAAAGAAAAAAAAAGAATGCCTGCATCATTTCAACTGCTACCAAATCTGGCTTAAAATTGCATTATGGATTCCTTCTTCAATTAAAGTTACCATAGCAGTTATCACTCACCATAATTAAATGGAAGGGAGCCTTTATGATGAAATGAATGTGAGGCTGAGACAAATATCAGCTCGTACCCCTAGTCTTGTTACTAGCTTTACAGCCATTAGCAAAAGTTCCTTAATTTCTCTGACCTTTGAGTCTTCACTTATAATTTAGAGATAATTAAATTAGATATTCAATTCAAGTGGATTTTTTAAGGATTTAGTGAGATGGTACCATGCTTGGCACTTAATTTCTTCACTGTACAAAAACATATTAACATTTACTAAAGAGCTTATACAAACTACTGAAAAATGTAAACAGTGTTGATAGGTGCACTGAGTTCTATACAGTTTTATCACCTGTGTATGCTTGTGTATCGACCAACATAGTCAAGGCACTGAACAGTTCTGTCAACACAGGAATCCCTCCTCTAGGTCTTTTATAATCACACCCTCTCCTCTCCACCATCCTTAACCCCTGCAATCATTGCTGTGTCCTTTACTTGTAAAATGTTGTCATTTCAAAAACGTTATGTAAATGGAATGCTACAATATGTAACCTTTAGAGACTGACTTTTTTCACTCAGCATAATTCCCTAGAGATTCTTCTAAGACATGTATATTGATAGTGGGCTGCTTTTTATTGCTGAGGCGTGTTTGTTGTGTGGATGTACAATTTAACCATGCACCTGGGCTGATTCCAGGTTTTGGCTATCAAAATAATGCCGACTTAAACATTCGTGTACAGATTATTGTGTGACCATAAGTTTCTATTTCTCTGAGACAAAATCCTAATCTGATGTTGTTAGGTCATGTAGTCATTACATGTTTAGTTTTTAAAATAAACTGCCAAACTGTTTTCTTGAATGGCTCTACTCTTATATTCCCCTACTCAGCAATGTATGGAAGACTCAGTTTCCTTGCCAGCCTTTGGTGGTGGTACTGTAGCTTATTTTGAAGCCAAATTTGTGACCGCTTTCTTTACTTGAGCTAACCAAATAAATTTGCTAGAAACCCATGTGGAGTGACCAGATTTAGAAAGGAATGTAGTCATATGTGATATGCTACAGTCTAGTTATATGCCATATCAGGGCATAATGGAAGTGTCCCCACTAAATGCCACTCTCCCCCAGAAAATTCATTCACTTAACTTTTAACAGCCTAACTTTGTATGATAAGTCAATTTGATTTTGAGATATTGGCCTCTTCAGTCTCTACATAATGAACAAAAAAGGGCTCGGCTTTCCTTTTGTCAACAGCAATAACAGATTATATCCAAGCTCCTTTATTAATATTTCCCAATTTATTAATATTGGGAAATATTAATAAAGGAGCTTGGTTATAATTTGTTTCTTTCTCCCTTGTTTGACAATTTTATTGTCTTCTAGAGGAAAGAGATATTTTTTGAAAGGATTTTTGAACACCCAAATCAGCACCTTTGAGTTTGCACTGGTCTAGAAATGAAGACACTGGAGTAGGAGTTAGAAGACATTTGTTAGAGTCCTTGCCTAATTAGCTATGTCACTTTAACCCAGTTTCCTTCTCCAGAATGGTTTGCTCAGCTGTATAAAATGGTTGGACTAGATCAACAGCTCTCAAACCTAGCAAGCATTAGAATCACCGGGATAACCTATTAAAACACCCCTTGCTGGGTCCCACCCTTAGATTCAGTAAGTCTGGAGTGGGGCACCGTAATTTGCCTTTCTAACATGTTCTCAAGTGAGGCCAGCAATGCTGGTCCAGAAACAACCCCTGAGAACCACTCGGCTGGACTATTTTAAAGTGCTTCCTGGGACTGTCAGTGAATACTACCCCCTCCCCAAGCCCTGCTCCCTCACCAAACTACTCAGATTTGCTTTCTGGTGAAATAAGTTATTCACTTACTCTTTTTTGTTGTTTTTTAAGTGATGCAGATGCATAGTAAAATATAATGCAGCAATTAAAAATATCCTAGAACAGTATTATATGAAAATTACTACAGTATATATTACATTTAGTTTTAAAACTTATATTTCACAAAACAGCTATATGGAAATGTCCAGAAAACATAGAAATAAAAATCTAACAATATATATCCAAAATGTTAATAGTAGTTATCCCTAAATGATGTAGCCACAAAAATTTTGTTTGTACCTTTCTGTGTTTTCTCAGTTTGTCTATAATTCATATAATCATAAATCATGTATTTAAACAGGAATTATAATAGGCAATATAAATCTAGACTTTTCTAAGTTTCAATAATTGCAATAAAGAACTTGTTGAATACTAAGCAACAGAAGTAAAGCTTTTTATTTCCGGTATAAAATAAAAGTGTCCAGGTTGGTTTTCAAAGGCAGGTATGACCCTCCTTAGCCCTTTCTCTTAAAAAGTGTATTAGGTCCACTTTGGGAGGCCGAGGAGGGTGGATCACCAGGTCAAGAGATCAAGACCATCCCGGCCAACATGGTGAAACCCTGTCTCTACTAAAAATACAAAAATTATCTGGGTGTGGTGGCGTGTCCCTGTAGTCCCAGCTACTTGGGAGGCTGAGGCAGGAGAATTGCTTGAACCCGGGAGGCAGAGGTTGCAGTGAGCCGAGATTGTGTCATTGCACCCCAGCCTGGCGCCTGGCAACAGAGCAAGACTCTGCCTCAAAAAAAAAAAAAAGTGTATTAGGTCACCTTTTGCCATTCTTCCTACTGGACAGAATTCTTCACTCATGCACAAGTAGCCCTGGCCTCAGGCCACTCACTGCAGCATCTCCTTACTGCCTGCATAGTATTTCCATGACACTTTTCGACTGACAACTATTGGGATCCACAGCCACAAGCTTACAAGCTGGTTCCTCTACTTTCCTTCACAGTGGGTCAGAAAGTGTTTTATCTGCATGAAGCAGGTTTTCTTCTTGGTTGCATGTCTCTTTGAAGAATTAATATTACAGTTAAAATAGGAATTTAAAGATTGCCAGTGAAATAAATTTATTTAAATGACAGAACCCATTCAACTGCTGTAGAAATCTATTTTGTTCCATAATATAGGAGTTCATGTCCCTTCCTGGGATTTCTAATTGTACCAATATTTTAAGCATATCATTTCTTCAACAGCCATGCTTCTTAACTTTAAGGTAAGAGAGGGGGTGGTTTATTTTAAATATGATGTATTAGAATGGTTTTGCTGCTAAAGGCACCTCTCCTTAAGCAATTGTAAATGTTTCAACTAATTGATACTAGCGAAAAGTACTTTATTTCTGAGCTCTAGGAACTCTGTTTCTGAATAAATGTGTTTGATCAGAGGCACGTCGCAGCACAGTGGTGATTTTCAAAACACCACTTTAGGCCAAAGCTGCAGCAGTGCCACTGTTCCCTTCTTCGGGTTCCTTCCTGCAGATATTCCATAGGAAGGAGAAATTACAGGGACTTTTTGATTTGTGAGTCTGTGTGTATTGAGGTAGCACCATTTTATATCTTGTGTTTTAACACCCACTCATATTCATATCATAGAATTATTTTCGTACAAATGTTTTGTGCTTCAGAGGCAGTCTGTTTTAATGTAACATTAGAAGACTACTGCTATATAAATGTTGGCCCCGTGGGTTTGATCGCATTAGTAAAGTTACTGGATTTGCTTTATATGACTGGGAGCATCAGAAATGCTTGTTCTCTACAGTGTTACAATATCACCATGCAATGCCAACAATATTGTCAGTAGTCCAGTTATTCTAAAAGAAGTGAGGAGAAGTTCATGTCTAGGACTTACTTGCTTTGTCAAAGAATAGGATCAAGATACAGTAACCGTTACAGTGGTCCTTGATTTCAGCCCCATCTAGAGATGAAAAGGCACCAGTAGTCCCCTGCCATGTACACATCTCTTGTAGTACATCTCATCCTTTAAGTGGACTGCTAGCCTTCTACCTAGATGTCTGCTAAGGACATAACAAGGCTCAGCTTAACTTTTGGAATCAACAAGCTTTTTAGTTATATGTAAATTTTCATGGTACATCAGGGCTTAAAGCAAATACAGAGTGAAAGTTTAATTTACAGACATCCATCTTTTTTTCTCTCTCCTTTTTAAAAGTCTTTACAGAATGTGTGCAGAAAGTCCAGGTTTGGAAGGCTACACTGGTGTTCCCTTAGTCTATAGTTTCTGTCCCTTACACATATAATTGTTGCCAATTTGGAGGGACAGGATCTTCTTCCTCATTGGACTGTTTCTCACATTTTTGGTGTTTTGTTTGGTCTTTCCTGTCTGCCAGTTATTCATTTAGCAGGCCAGCATCCTAGGGGGATCAAGTGTGTGGGAAACTCTGTGCCATGCCAGGGTTTATGGCTCTCTTTGCCTCTCCCAGGGTAGTGCCTCAGAAGGCTCTCTTGCTTTCATAACGCAAAAATAGTTTTGTTTCTCCCAACAGGTGTTAATGTCCATCTTAAATTTACTCCATGCTACTGGAATCACCTGATTCTCTGACTGCCTCTCCCATTCTCATTTTAGGAATCCCTTCTCAGTGTGGTCTGTGGCTGGAACAATCAGTGTCACATCGATGATTATTAATGATTGAATGAATGAAGCTAGCCTCCCAGCCCAGAGAGAGGAATATCTTACAGTATTTATTCAACACAGAAAGTTGAGTCCAGGGTATCCTCATCATGGCATGATTAATGCCAAATTAGTGAGTTAGTAAAAACTACTTAATCCCAGTGTGATTTCAAGACATCAAGTATATTTGATAGATACTAGAAAAAGTTGGGGTTTTTTATTTAATTTTTGTTTTTACATGTATATTTTGTAAAGGAAATTTGGATCTTGGAAACTAGATTTTATTTTATTTTATTCAAGTAATTATTTATTGTTGAGACAGAATCTCACTCTGTCACCCATGCTGGAGTGCAGTGGCGGGATCTCAGCTCACTGCAACCTCTGCCTCCTGGGTTCGAGCGATTCTCCTGCCTCAGCCTCCTGAATAGCTGGGATTACAGGCACCCACCACTGTACCTGGCTAATTTTTGTGTTTTCAACAGAGATGAGGTTTTGCCATGTTGGCCAGGCTGGTCTTGAACTCCTGACCTCAGGTGATCCACCCACTTCAGTCTCCCAAAGTGCTGAGATTGCAGGTGTGAGTCGCCATGCCTGGCCAAGAAACTGGATTTTAAGTCAACAATGTCCTTTTTAAAAGGAACATTTGTGTCTGTGTACTTAGTGTGAAGAGTCCTTTCTAAAGCCTTTCTATGTAGCCAGCCTTGATGATATATCTTTGTAGTGATTGAAATTCTAAATAAATGTTGAGAAATAATATAAATTTGTTATCTAGGGTAAAAATCACATTAAAAAGTATTTAATGTTTCACACAAATGTATTAATGCTTCCCAGGCTTACATTTGGTCAACAGTACATCAACCTGGCCATGTTTATTGTGGTTTAAAAGATTGTTTTTCGATGATGACTCTAAGCAGAGAAATAATTTTTAGATATCTTAACGTCCTCTCCCTCTCTTCATTCCCAAGTGTCACTATTCAGGTGCACAAAACTAAGTCAAATCTTACAACCAACAGGAAAAGATTGTCTTTTGTTTTTTAAAATAATTATTTATGCTTTGTAACTATATTCCAGAAATGTAACAACCAACAGAGTTTAAAGCTGCAGCGATAGTCACATGCAATGCGAAGCTTTAAAACTTTTACTTTGGGGAATAAAACTAAAAAGATGAAATATAGAGATCTTTTTCAGTGTAGTGGAACAAAATAAAATTATCCTCTCTTAAAATAAATGGCAGTTAGGGGAAGTAATTTTTCCTGTCATGGATAAATGGTAGAGAACACAAAACCAGCATTTGAAATATGTTAACTCACAGTGTTTAAAATATAAGTAATAAAATGCATTGTACAGTACCTGTTCCCAAGGATGACTGCAGTTTCACGTTGTCTTTAAAAATACATAACGTGCTTGGCAAATGGAACTATAAAAACTAGACGGAAAAAAAGGCATTAAGCCAAATTTTAAACTTCTTTCTTTTTCAGTGGGAGGCTCCATTTTGCATCATTTAATTTAATCAGCTCAGCCTCTTTTGTAGTGTTCCTCATCTTGAGTTCATATTCACAGGCAGGCAAAAGAAATCTTTTAGTATTTGCGGCAATACCAAAGATTGGAAGTCTCTAAGCCTCTATAGTTTTCTGTCATTCATCTGTAAAGTTATAGTGGGAAAAGCATGGATTAGAAATCAATTTCTTTTTAAGCCCACCATTGTCACTTAACAGCTTTGCTACCTGAGCAAGTTTCTTACATTTTCTGAACTTCTGTTTCTTCATATGTAAAACAAAGTTTCAAATACCTGCTTTACTAAATCATAGGACCATGCTGTGGACGAAAACAATCAAAATAGGCTTAATAAAGTGTTTTACAAATTTCATGTACATCCTGTTAGAATTCCCATTTTGTGGATGAGGAAAGGCCGAAAGGGGCTAGCTGCTAATTTTTTGTCATAGGGGCTCTCTACATGGTAGGTGAACACCCCTGGCCTCTGTCCACTGGATGCCAGTAGCACCCCCTTCCAGTAAATATTGACCATTGAAAATGTCTCCAGATACTGCCATATGCCCCCCAGTACACAAAATCACCTCAAGTTGAGAACCACTGTTCTGTATAGCTAAAATTCTTAACCTTTTTTTTTTTTTTTAAATGTATTTATTTATTTTTGAGATGGACTCTCCCTCTGTCAGCCAGGCTGGATTGCAGTGGTGCAATCTCGGCCCACTGCAACCTCTGCCACGTGGGTTCAAGTGATTCTCATGCCTCAGCCTCCCAAGTAGCAGGGATTACAGATATCTGCCACCACGCCTGGCTAATTTGTGTATTTAGTAGAGACAGGGTTTCACCATATTGGCAGACTATTCCTGCACTCCTGACCTCAAGCCATCTGCCTGCCTTGGCCTCTCCCAAAGTGCTGGGATTACAGGCATGAGCCACTGTGCCCAGCCTCTTAACCATTTTTGTAACGTAATTTATCAGTGTTATCCTTA